CTGTGCTATTTCAACAGGTAATTGCGAGGTTGTGCAATGATGTAACCAAAAGCAATTTATGTTCTTTTTTTTTCACAAAATTGGGCTTTCTGTTAGTGATATTTTATCACCTCTGTGGTTTTTAATTTTTGTGCTATAAACAAAAAAATACTGCAAATTTTGAAAAAAAAATTATATTTTTCACTTTTGTTTATTAAAAATATCCAATAAACTCAAAGTTAGTCATACATTTAGGCTAAAATGTATTCTGCTACATGTCTTTGGTAAAATAAATCTCAATACATGTATATTAATTGGTTTGTGTGAAAGTCATAGCGTCTATAAACTATAGTGTATATACTGTATATTGGAATCAACATAGCTTTTACTTTTTGATTGCCTATCACATTTCTTGAGGTGCTAAAATGCCAGGGCAGTACAACCCCCCCCCCAAATGACCCCTTTTTGGAATGTAGACACCCCAAGGATTTTACAGAGAGGCATGTTGAGTCCATGGAACATTTTCTTTTTTTGCAACACATTTTTTCACTATGACAATTTGTTTTTCTTATTTTTTTTTACACATAGTTGTCACTTTTAATGATATATTGCTCATGCATGCCATGGGTATATGTGGAATAACACCCCAAAACACATTCTTCTATTTCTTCCGAGTATGGGGATACCACATGTGAGAGACTTTTTGGCAGCCTAGCTACATGTCAGGTCACCAATTTAGACAGGAGGTCTAGTGCTAAAATTACTGCCCTCGATCTGATGTTTGCGGCGATACCTCAAATACATGGTGCAACTGCTGTTTGCATACCGGCATGTGGTCAACATTTGTGCATGCAGTTGCGCATACGCAGGGAAGCAAGGGAGCTTTATTTTTTTGTTATTTTGATTTTTTGTATTATTTTTTCACTGTCCATTTCATTTTTCTTGGATCACTTTTAATGCTATCACAGGGAATGCAAATATAACCTCATTGGGTATTGTCATATATTCTTTTTTTTAAAAATCTGGGGTCTATCAGACTCTAAATATCTTCTCTGCCCTTACATTTTCTAATCTTAAAAAGAACATTGTGATCAGATGCTTTCCCAATTTGCAAATGGCGCTGTTTATATCCTGCGAAACTGAAGTGATAAAATGCTTGTAGCTTCCGGTCTCTTAGACTTTAGAGATGATTGGAACCATTCTGGTCTATGATCAGCTCTATGGTCAGTCAGAAGAACTTCTGGCTGCATTCTCTGATTCCCTTTTGGGACAGGAGAGCCCAAGAAAACTGTGTAAGACAGCAGGAGGGGGGGATGTCCCTTCCCACTGCTCAAAAAACAATTAAGCAGCTAATTGGCCACTGGGATTGTTTTTACCTGAAAGCCGACCACCAGCTGAAAAAAACGGTACCAGAATTATGCCTGTAGCTGCAGGCATAATCCCGGTATAACCAGTACATTTCAGGTCTATGTTGGCATACAGTGAAGGAAAAAAGTATTTGATCCCCTGCTGATTTTGAATGTTTACCCACTCAAAAAGAAATGATCAGTCTAAAAAATTTAATGGTAGGTGTATTGTAACACTGAGAGACAGGATAGCAACAAAAAATTTAAAAGAAATGCATGTCTAACAAATTATTCACTGATTTGCATGTTCATGATTTTTTCATGATTATCTAGATTCAAAGACTGCAATTATTAGTGCATACTACCACACGCACGCTCATGCATGTAAAGGTCCAATGCTTTATGAAGTTTTTTTTTTTTTTATTGTATATATATATATATATATATATATATATATATATATATATATATATATATATAAATATATAAAATGTAGAGCTCCTCTTACCCTAAATATATTTAAATGGGTGACAGTATAAGCATAGATCTACTAAATAAATTATGCTATCTATGACATATAAAAATATCAGAAATTACTTTTGAATTCTAAGTTTTTCATTATAAAGTTGACTACATTTTTAAATAGGGACTTATAATTTCTTTGTAATCTCTGGTATTTAGGAAATGAGCACTTGAGAAGCAATTACTTTATATATAGCACATCTTGGTGACTTCTGCAAATACTATGTACAAAAACAAATTCCCTTGTGTGAGAAGAGTAAACATCATATTCATGCAGTTCCTAAATTTAATAAAACAAATTCAAACTAAATGCCATTAAAATGAGTGGATTGTGGCATTGTTGTGATCTACAGTTCCGATAATGTGACATTTTAAATGACTCCAAAGTATTATAATATACTTTGACTATAACACTATATTGCAATAGTATTGGGATGCCTGCTTTTACACACATGAACTTTAATGGCATCCCAGTCTTAGTCCGCAGGGTTCAATATTGAGTTGGCCCACCCTTTGCTGTTATACCAGCTTCAACTCTTCTGGGAAGGGTGTCCACAAGGTTTAGGAGTGTGTCTATGGGAATGTTTTCCCATTCTTCCAGAAGTGCATTTGTGAGGTCAGGCACTGATGTCGGACGAGAAGGCCTGGCTAGTAGTTTCGACTCTAATTCATCCCAAAGGTGTTCCATCGGGTTGAGGTCAGGACTCTGTGCAGGCCTGTCAAGTTCCTCCGCCCCAAACTCACTCACCCTTGTCTTTATGGACCTTGCTTTGTGCACTTGTGCACAGTCATGTTGGAACAGGATGGGGCCATCCCCAAACTCTTCCCACAAAGTTAGGAGCATGAAATTGTCCAAAATGTCTTGGTATGCTGACGCCTTAAGTGTTTCCTTCACTGGAACTAAGGGGTCAAGCCCAATCCCTGAAAAACAGCCCACACCATAATCCCCCCTCTACCAAACTGTACACTTGGCACAGTGCAGACAGGCAAGTACTGTTCTCCTGGAAACCACCAAACCCAGACATGTTCATCTGATTGGCAGTCTACACTGCTCTAGAGTCCAGTGGTGGCGTGCTTTGCACCACTGCATCTGATGCTTTACATTGCACTTGGTGATGTAAGGCTTGGATGCAGCTGTTCAGCCATGGAAATCCATTCCATGAAGCTCTCTATGCACTGTTGTGCTAATCTGAAAATCATATGAATCTTGGAAGTCTTTAGCTCTTGTCTCTGCAGACAGTTGGCGACTTCTGTGCACTGTGTGCTTCAGCATGCACTGACCCCACTCTGTAATTTTACATGGCCTACCACTTCATGGTTGAGCTGCTGTTGTTCCCAGTTGCTTCCACTTTGTTATAATACCACTAACAGTTGACTGTGGAATATTTAGTAGCATGGACTTATTGCACAGGTGGCAACCTATCACGGTACCACACCTGAATTTACTGAGCTCCTCAGAGCGACCCATTCTTTCACAAATGTTTGTAGAAGCAGTCTGCATGTCTAGGTGATTGATTTTATACACCTGTGGCCATGGAGGTGATTGGAACACCTGAATCCAATGATTTGGAGCGGTGTCCCAATACTTTTGGCAATACAGTATATATATGCAAAATGAAATAGTTTGTGTACTGTTCTTACCTCAGACACAGTAAATGTTTTCTTGTGACTTGGAATACAAAGAGGTGAAAGCATTTAACATCTTAAAAGTTATACACACTTTATCACTATTACATTAGTAAACATTTTAAATAATGAGGGACAAATCAATGCATTTAGCTACAGTGTAAACATTGTAAACCATGCTGTTTATGTTGGATTCAGTTATTTAAATGTATGAGTAGTTAATTTTATTGTACATTTAGAGATTTTAGAACAGCTTAAAATCTCTAACTTTATGGGTTACTGATCTAGTATTACTGTATATGGAACTGCTGTGCATTGTCAAACCTTTGCTTTCATCAAAGCCTCTAATTGTCATCACAGCTAGGGCTCGGGAATCATTTGTTTAAAAATGCCCTCATTAAAATTTAAATTTAAGAAATAGCTGAATGTTATATATTTATTTTTTATTTATTTATTACAGGCACATATATAGCATCATCAATTTATGCAGCATTTTACATATATTGTACATTCACATCAGTCCCTGCCCTCAAGGAGCATACAATGCAGAGTCTTTAACTCACATTCATACATATATAAACTAGGGCCAATGTAGACAGGAGCTGTTAAATCTACCAACATGTCTTTATATGATTACAAATGTTTGAGATAGCAATACAAAAAATACTTTAAACATTTCCATAACATTTTACAGATAACCACACCAGTACAATAGTAGTTTAATATCATTCCTATAAGAAAGCAACATATACCAGCCATACTAGTGTCATAATTAATATAGAATGAACATATCCCATATCAGTGCCTCCAGAATTACAGAATTTTAAAGTACATAATAATGCCCTTGCATCCACTTTGGAAGAAATAACATTTTAATGATACTTTATATAAAGAAAAAATACATATTTATAACAGTTGTTGTATGATTGTAACATTTTCAGACATATTGAGAATTATACATTCTAATTCTGCATACAACTGCATATTAAGTGGGTAGCAATTATCCAAGGACTAGTGAACCTTTTTTAGTATACAGCCACAATCTTAATGTTAATTAAAAGGTTTTATAAAGACTGCTAAATGTAGTTAGATATGCTTACTTCAGATCACATACCCAGTATATATAGAACAATCAATGCACTACAGTTCCAGTGCAATAGCCTGAGTTGTAGATAAAGGGAGAATTGAGAGATGCTACGAGAGATAAGCAATAACTTTTTAGGTTGTCCTACAGGTGGGGTGGAGTATCTTAATGTGACCTTCGCTGTCTCCTTTTTTGGAAATACTGTATAGCCCCAAAAGGGCCAGTGTAAGATAGAAATTGAGGAGGTTCTTTTAGCTCCCTAAGATTATGATTTCAACATATCACTGTCACCACAATACCATAATTATGATTAGAGATGAGCGAAGTATTCAAAAATTCGATTCGGCTGATTCGGCGAATTCGTGGACAATATTCGATTCGAGTCGAATATATTCGCTGTGAATTTAACTTAAAAAAGGGTGTTTCTAGGCTTCAGAGAGACTTAATATTAGTGCAGAACACTGTACCTTTAATTTAAATGCCCTTGGAGTCTGCTGGGGAAGAGAAATAATACTGTCAGTCAGTATGACATGCAGATGAGTGCCGTCGATCTTAGAATCACCGCACACTTCACTCATTTGGCCAGTCACGGGCCCAAAACCAGTGTTTGGAGCCACAGTGTGGCGGTGGAGGCAGCAGCAATGGGAGGCCATACAGCAACCTATGACAAAATGGAAACCAGCAGGAGTGTGAGGAGACCTCAAAGTGGCACATGGCAGAGTGGGAGCAATGGGAGGCGGTACAGGGACCCATGTCACACTGTGGACCCAGCAGCAGCGTGACCAGGCGGTACGGAGGCCCATGGCAGATTACAGGCCTGGCAGCAGCAATGGGAGGCCCGTAATCTGTCAGCACCCTATGACAAAATGGAACCCACCAGCAGTGTGAGGAGACCTGAAAGTGGCACATGGCAGAGTGTGGCGATGGAGACAGCAGCAATGGGAGGCCGTACAGGTACCCATGAGAGACTCGGGACCTGGCAGCAGCATGAGGAGGCGGTATAGGGGCCCATGGCAGATTAGGGGCCTGGCAGCAGCTATGGAGGCCCGTAATCTGCCAGCACCCTATGTCAAAAAATTCAACACACCAGCAGTGTGAGGAGACCTGAAAGTGGCACATGGCAGAGTGTGGCGATGGAGACAGCAGCAATGGGAGGCCGTACAGGGACCCATGACAGACTCTGGACTTGGCAGCAGCATGAGGAGGAGGCGTATAGGGGCCCATGGCAGATTAGGGGCCTGGCAGCAGCTATGGGAGGCCCGTAATCTGCCAGCACCCTATGACAAAAAATGGAACACACCAGCAGTGTGAGGAGACCTGAAAGTGGCACATGTTTGGGGCATGATTCATGGCGGATTTAGTCAGTTGTGTCAGGAACTGGTGGTTTGAAATCCAGACTAATCCACGCCTGATTCATTTTCACAAACGTGAGTCTCTCCACACTTTGGGTGGACAGTCGTGTCCTCCGCGGAGTTGCAATACCTCCTGCCGCACTAAACACGCGCTCCGATGCCACGCTACTGGCCGGGCATGACAGCCTTTCAAGGGCAAATTCATCTAGTTGGGGCCAAAGGTCAAGTTTCGTTGCCCAGTAGTCAAGGGGATTGTCTACCTCGGTTGGCAGGGTGCTGTCCAAGTAGGCCTAAGCCTGTTGTTTGAGGTCCTGCTCCAGGTCCACCTGATGCTGCTGCTGCTGCGGCTGGTTATTAGTTTCCTCACTGCGCTGGTGAAGAAAGCTACTCATCATCGACTGCAGACTGAGGCAGCTGCTGCTGGTGGAGCTGCAACTGCTCCTACCACCCCACCCCTCCCCTGCTGCCATGGCAGCGTAACGCGAGCGCACAGGGCCCACAGTGTCTGAGGATGGACGTTGGCGCAGACAGGCAGAGACCAGCTGACTACATAGGTGGTTTTTATAGTACGTTATTTTGGCCTCCCTCTCAGCAGGTGTGAAAAAGGCCACCATTTTGGAACGGTAGCGAGGGTCCAACAAGGTGGACAGCCAAAAGTCATCCCTCTGTCTGATGGTTATTATTCGGCTGTCGCTACGCAAGCAAGCGAGCATGCTATGGGCCCTTTGTGCCAAGGAATGCGAGGGACTCCCTGCCTCCCTCTCCACAGCATACTGCCACGGTGCGTCTGGGTCCTCTGTCTCCTCTTCCTCCTCCTCTACCAGATGCTCCTGCTCCTCCACTCCTGTCCGCTGAGTGGAAAAACCACCCATTTCACTCAATAATTCCTGAGCACCAATGTCCTCCTCTACCTCCTCCTCTTTCTTCCTGTCCTGCCCCCACATGGGTCATGTGGCGTTGAGATCTGTGCGCCACGTCTACCGCACCCTGACCAGCCATTATTAACAGCATTTGTTCCAGGACGTGCAACAGAGGAATGACGTCGTTCATCCCATAGTCCTGCCGACTCACGAATAGCGTGGCCTCCTCAAAGGGCCTGAGCAAGCGCAGGTGTCACGCATGAGCTGCCAATGGTTGACATCTAAGTTACACAGGGAGTACCTTTATCCGCTTTTAACATCAGGAAATCTGTGATGGGCCTTTTGCTGTTCGTAAAGGCGCGGTCTAACATATGTAGGTTGAATTCCACCTTGTTGCAACGTCACAGCATGAGGAGTCGGTACGGGGGCCCATGGCAGATTACGGGCCTGGCAGCAGCAATGGGAGGCCCGTAATCTGCCAGTACCCTATGTCAAAAAATTCAACACACCAGCAGTGTGTGAGGAGACCTGAAAGTGGCACATGGCAGAGTGTGGCGATGGAGACAGCAGCAATGGGAGGCCGTACAGGGACCCATGAGAGACTCTGGACCTGGCAGCAGCATGAGGAGGCGGTATATAGGGGCCTATGGCAGATTAGGGGCCTGGCAGCAGCTATAGGAGGCCCGTAATCTGCCAGCACCCTATGTCAAAAAATTCAACACACCAGCAGTGTGTGAGGAGACCTGAAAGTGGCACATGGCAGAGTGTGGCGATGGAGACAGCAGCAATGGGAGGCCGTACAGGGACCCATGAGAGACTCTGGACTTGGCAGCAGCATGAGGAGGCGGTATATAGGGGCCTATGGCAGATTAGGGGCCTGGCAGCAGCTATAGGAGGCCCGTAATCTGCCAGCACCCTATGTCAAAAAATTGAACACAACAGCAGTGTGTGAGGAGACCTAAAAGTGGCACATGGCAGAGTGTGGCGATGGAGACAGCAGCAATGGGAGGCCGTACAGGGACCCATGACAGACTCTGGACTTGGCAGCAGCATGAGGAGGCGGTATATAGGGGCCCATGGCAGATTAGGGGCCTGGCAGCAGCTATGGGAGGCCCGTAATCTGCCAGCACCCTATGTCAAAAAATTCAACACACCAGCAGTGTGTGAGGAGACCTGAAAGTGGCACATGGCAGAGTGTGGCGATGGAGACAGCAGCAATGGGAGGCCGTACAGGGACCCATGAGAGACTCTGGACCTGGCAGCAGCATGAGGAGGCGGTATATAGGGGCCCATGGCAGATTAGGGGCCTGGCAGCAGCTATGGGAGGCCCGTAATCTGCCAGCACCCTATGTCAAAAATTCAACACACCAGCAGTGTGAGGAGACCTGAAAGTGGCACATGGCATGAGAGACTGTGGACCTGGCAGCAGCATGAGGAGGCGGTATAGGGGCCCATGGCAGATTAAGGGCCTGGCAGCAGCTATGGGAGGCCCGTAATCTGCCAGCACCCTATGTCAAAAAATTCAACACACCAGCAGTGTGTGAGGAGATCTGAAAGTGGCACATGGCAGAGTGTGGCGATGGAGACAACCCACCGACTGTTTTGCTCGCTGCCAAGCTGCCACCCTCTTCTCCTGATGATGCGGAAGCAATAGCCTGATGACGACGAGGCTGCCAAGTGCGATCAGCCTCATCATCATCAATTAGGGTCTCCGCCTCACTACTAGCCCCCTCGGCTGCGTGTGGGTCAGGAGACAGACCTGTCTCTAGACCGGCTACCGAGCCACTCTCCTCGCCACTACTTCTTCGCCTGGCTGCTGAAGAGGCGGATGTCTCCCCCCGTTCCTGACCGCCCTCTGTTAGCTCTTCCTCACTGTACTGGATGACACCGGGAGCACTAGCCTCTGGCTGCGAATAGTGCTGCCTCGACCCCTTCCTCTGCTGCCACGTCTGCTCGCTCCTAAAACATTGCCTCCTCTGCCACTCCTCTGCATGTTGTCTGACATACTCTTTAATTAAACGATTCTGTGTCCCTGAGTAACAATTCTGTGTCCCTGAGTAACGTTTCTGTGGCCCTAAGTAACAGTTCTGTGGCCCTAAGTAACAGTTCTGTGGCCCTCAGTAACAATTCTGTGTCTGTCCCTGAGTAACAATTCTGTGTCCCTCAGTAACAATTCTGTGTCCCTCAGTAACAATTCTGTGTCCCTGAGTAACAATTCTGTGTCCCTGAGTAACGTTTCTGTGGCCCTAAGTAACAGTTCTGTGGCCCTAAGTAACAGTTCTGTGTCCCTCAGTAACAATTCTGTGTCCCTCAGTAACAATTCTGTGTCCCTGAGTAACAATTCTGTGTCCCTGAGTAACGTTTCTGTGGCCCTAAGTAACAGTTCTGTGGCCCTCAGTAGTAACAATTCTGTGTCTGTCCCTGAGTAACAATTCTGTGTCCCTCAGTAACAATTCTGTGTCCCTCAGTAACAATTCTGTGTCCCTGAGTAACGTTCTGTGGCCCTAAGTAACAGTTCTGTGGCCCTAAGTAACAGTTCTGTGGCCCTCAGTAACAATTCTGTGTCTGTCCCTGAGTAACAATTCTGTGTCCCTCAGTAACAATTCTGTGTCCCTGAGTAACAATTCTGTGGCCCTCAGTAACAATTCTGTGTCCCTCAGTAACAATTCTGTGTCCCTGAGTAACAATTCTGTGTCTGTCCCTGAGTAACAATTGTGTGGCCCTAAGTAACGGTTCTGTGGCCCTCAGTAACAATTCTGTGTCCCTGAGTAACAATTCTGTGTCTGTCCCTGAGTAACAATTCTGTGGCCCTAAGTAACGGTTCTGTGGCCCTCAGTAACAATTCTGTGTCCCTGAGTAACAATTCTGTGTCCCTCAGTAACAATTCTGTGTCCCTCAGTAACAATTCTGTGTCTGTCCCTGAGTAACAATTCTGTGTCTGTCCCTGAGTAACGTTTCTGTGGCCCTAAGTAACGGTTCTGTGGCCCTCAGTAACAATTCTGTGTCCCTCAGTAACAATTCTGTGTCTGTCCCTGAGTAACAATTCTGTGTCCCTGAGTAACAATTTTCTGGGGCCCTAAGTAACATTTCTGTGGCCCTCAGTAACAATTCTGTCTGTCCCTGAGTAACAATTCAGTGTCTGTCCCTGAGTAACAATTCTGTGTCTGTCCCTGAGTAACAATTCTGTGTCCCTGAGTAACAATTCTGTGGCCCTCAGTAACAATTCTGTGTCCCTCAGTAACAATTCTGTGTCTGTCCCTGAGTAAGAATTCTGTGTCTGTCCCTGAGTAAAAATTCTGTGTCTGTCCCTGAGTAACGTTTCTGTGGCCCTAAGTAATGGTTCTGTGGCCCTCAGTAACAATTCTGTGTCCCTGAGTAACAATTCTGTGTCTGTCCCTGAGTAACAATTCTGTGGCCCTAAGTAACGGTTCTGTGTCCCTCAGTAACAGTTCTGTGTCCCTGAGTAACAATTCTGTGGCCCTAAGTAACGGTTCTGTGGCCCTCAGTAACAATTCTGTGTCCCTGAGTAACAATTATGTGTCTGTCCCTGAGTAACAATTCTGTGGCCCTAAGTAACGGTTCTGTGGCCCTCAGTAACAATTCTGTGTCCCTCAGTAACAATTCTGTGTCTGTCCCTGAGTAACAATTCTGTGGCCCTAAGTAACGGTTCTGTGGCCCTCAGTAACAATTCTGTGTCCCTGATTAACGTTTCTGTGGCCCTAAGTAACGGTTCTGTGGCCCTCAGTAACAATTCTGTGTCCCTCAGTAACAATTCTGTGTCTGTCCCTGAGTAACAATTCTGTGGCCCTAAGTAACGGTTCTGTGGCCCTCAGTAACAATTCTGTGTCCCTGAGTAACGTTCTGTGGCCCTAAGTAATGGTTCTGTGGCCCTCAGTAACAATTCTGTGTCCCTGAGTAACAATTCTGTGTCTGTCCCTGAGTAACAATTCTGTGGCCCTAAGTAACGGTTCTGTGGCCCTCAGTAACAATTCTGTGTCCCTGAGTAACGTTTCTGTGGCCCTAAGTAACAATTCTGTGTCCCTGAGTAACAGTTCTGTGGCCCTAAGTAACGGTTCTGTGGCCCTCAGTAACAATTCTGTGTCCCTGAGTGACAATTCTGTGGCCCTAAGTAACGGTTCTGTGGCCCTCAGTAACAATTCTGTGTCCCTGAGTAACAATTCTGTGTCTGTCCCTGAGTAACAATTCTGTGGCCCTAAGTAACGGTTCCGTGGCCCTCAGTAACAATTCTGTGTCCCTGAGTAACAATTCTGTGGCCCTAAGTAACGGTTCTGTGGCCCTCAGTAACAATTCTGTGGCCCTCAGTAACAATTCTGTGTCTGTCCGAGTAACAATTCTGTGGCCCTAACTAACGTTTCTGTGGCCCTAAGTAACAGTTCTGTGGCCCTCAGTAACAATTCTGTCTGTCCCTGAGTAACAATTCTGTGGCCCTAACTAACGTTTCTGTGGCCCTAAGTAACAGTTCTGTGGCCCTCAGTAACAATTCTGTGTCTGTCCCTGAGTAACAATTCTGTGGCCCTATCTAACGTTTCTGTGGCCCTAAGTAACAATTCTCTGGCACTCAGTAACAATTCTGTCTGTCCCTGAGTAACAATTCTGTGGCCCTAACTAACGTTTCTGTGGCCCTAAGTAACAGTTCTGTGGCCCTCAGTAACAATTCTGTGTCTGTCCCTGAGTAACAATTCTGTGGCCCTAACTAACGTTTCTGTGGCCCTAAGTAACAATTCTCTGGCACTCAGTAACAATTCTGTCTGTCCCTGAGTAACAATTCTGTGGCCCTAACTAGCGTTTCTTTGGCCCTAAGTAACGATTCTGTGGCCCTCATTAACAATTCTGTGTCCCTGAGTAATGGTTCTCTGTCCCTAAGTAACGTTTCTCTGTCCCCAAGTAACGTTTCTGTGGCCCTAACTCTGTCCCTAATACAGAGCCGTCTGCCTCTCTTGAATGACTGCAGGCAAATGAAGAATTCTAAAATGGCCGCTATTTATAGCTCGACCATTACACAGTGCTGGCTGCCTGGCTGCTGATTGGCTAATGCGATCACATGTCATTAAGGAATGCATTATGGGTCAGCGCGCCTTGTCTGCGCGCCTTCCCAGACATCCCCGCTCCGTCGCCGCACATGTCCGCCGCCATTTTAGGAAAATCGCCCACTTCGCCTACTTCGATTCGCTCATCTCTAATTATGATGATGCTGAGGTCTGAAAAAAAACTCAAACAGTTTTCAAATCTTATTTTCTTCAAAGTGTAAATTCGGTAACAAAATAACCAGATCAAAATCTGCTTTCTGTGCTAAGCTGTCATGGAAGTCAATGCATTTGATTAAAGCATTCTATTTCTAATATCTGTTTTATAATATCTTTTTCTGTGAGTATTTTTTGTGTCATTTTTCATTAAATTCAGTTTAAAAATCTCTAAATACTCTAACCACAAATTATAGAATTCTGCCTCTCTGAAGATGCTACATGTTGGCTGCTATCGTGTGAATGAAGGGTTAACTGCTCAGTTGACCTGCCCTGGTGATGGTAACTCTTAGTTTGCTGGTGTTTAGATTGTCATCGCACACGCTGGAAAATCTTTGCATTGGTGAAGCTGCCATTGCATTTT